AGATTAGTTGGTGAACCTTTGTTCTCAGATACATTTGTTGTAATACGTGATGTCGGTTTAAATAAAAAATGAATGTGTAACCCCAGTCCCACTGCTCAGACATTCCACGCTGTTAGCATGCCTAGAGGGTCAGACCTACCTCTGTGGCTTTTGGCATCCCTGCTCCCACTGGGTAAAGGGGTATACTGCATGAGTGGAGATGCACAGCTGCTGTCACTGGAGTCCTGGACAGGGAGGAAGACAAAAACAGAATGCAATCAAGCTTTCCATATCCTTTCTGTTCACAATATTTATACATTTATACAAAACCTATACAATAATAAAACTACAGTTTTCATTTTCAAATTAAACTGACTACTCTGCACAGGTATTGCAGGCGAAGGCAATATTTCTAAACATATAAGACTAATTGAATCAGATTAGAAACCCCACAAACACGAACACACTCATACCAGGGCTAGTTTTTCCAGAAGCCAAATAACCTTCCAGTATTTCTTCTGACTGTGGGCGGAAAATGTATTATAATTATTAATAATGATAATAATAATAAGAAGAAGAAAAAGAGGAATAATGGGAGGCAACCAATGCGAAGAAGAACTCTCCCTTCTCATTTCACATTCAGCTGAGTACTGTAAGGGCCAAATGGGATACAGCTGTGTCTTGCATGTGTACATCCTAAACCTCAATGTGCCACAAGCAATGGGAATCGGCAGAGAGTCCAGACTGCAGACTCCAGACACTGCGACACCTTAACTAGGGAGTTTATGATCATGCCGAGTGGAAGACAGTGGATTTGAGAAGGCCCTAGTATTATAAAGGTTTCAGTTTTGTAGTTTTTTTAACTTTTTTTTTATCAGAATGTTGTACTTGTGTGAACAGCTACCACCCTTTTTCTAAAACCTGCTTTTCCAGCATTCAATTAAGAAGGCTCCAAATTGAATTAATAACGAAAAGTCATGTTTGTTTCAAACTGTTATGGAAAATTTGATCATGAATCAGCTTCTTTTACTGCAGTGCCTATTAGATTACCAGGCACACAATGGAGTGTGTTACTATAAGGCCATAATGGAAGCCAAAGACTGTTTCTAATTTTAAACTTCCTTCTAAATGTCCAAATTATAGGAGAAGGCTTCAGTGGAAAGACCCACTCATTTAGATCCCATGAAATTCAGCTTGTCTAAAAACAGACCACAACGTTTGGCCGTAAGACAAACAGATTAAAGTTGACAATACCAATTCCTTACACTAACCCATGATCTGTCATTGAAAAAATAAAGTAGGTCTCTTTTTAAAAAAAAAGTTTTGTAATAAAGAAATCTCAGTGTCTGTCTTCTTCTGATTCCACTTCAAATGTAATATTTTTTTCCCTTTACCGTTACTGTGGGGTGTGGATTGTGTGCAATTGTTTTCTGAAGTTTTTTTCTCATAATTTACATGATGCTGTGCTATTCACTCAATGCAGGTTTGCTGTTATCTATTAGTTTTTTTTTTTTACATCCTAGTTACCAAACTGGAATTCAAACTGTCAAGCAATTCAACAGAGGAAATTATTATTTCTAATGGTGACTTCCAAAACCTGTGTTGGGTTTTACAGCAGCAATGTACCGCAAACATAAAATAGGCTTCGAGTTTCACAGCTGGGACTGACCCTACTTCTGTCATAAAAATTATCAGCATAAGACAGGAAATGTTGGAACACCATTACCTTTGTTATCGCTTTTTATAGGAGGGTAAGTTTCATTAGGAAGAGGAAAGGAGAGAGCGGCAGAACTGGCTCTGATTATCTGAGATCCTGCTGTTTAAGAGGAGTCCGGGGAAGGCCTTACTGCCACTGAGCCATGAACTGGATTAGAGGTCAAAGTAAGGTCAGGCTGCTGCTGAGTTTGAGACTCCATGTGTGCTGCTATGAGCTGACAATCCAACAGGTGGCATGAAATTACCACTTTCTAACTCTCGGACTATGCTTGCAGCGCAGTGCACTCCACAACCTGGAGCACTCACAGATGATGTATTTAACTGCAGATAATCAGCTAGGAGATTCAAACATCAAAACACAGTTTTGATTGACTCAGAACTACTTGCTCCAAAGTACCATATCAGGCCACATAACTACTCCACAGTTACCAGAAGTCCAAAGCACTGCACATCTCCATTTGTAAATTTCCCAGTTACATCCCAGTTACATCTCCTCTGTAAAGAGGATCGTGGATGTTGTTAAATGAAAACATACGTTTTTCTTTGGCAAACAAAACAAGTTTTGACCTCAGATCAACTTGCTGTTATTTTATACGAAGCTTTATTCCCCTGTACTCCTCTCACTGCATTATATGCATATGTAGATATGTGAATGTTTATATACAGTATACCTACACACACAAACACACAAACATTTACATTTTCTAAGCCTAGGTGACCTGCTGCATTAATGTTTTTTTTTAATGTTTCTTTATTAGCCCTATACAATTTCTTGCATTAGGAATGCGTCTTTTCGCATACCCCAGCTTTTCTCCATTAATATATCACACATATCATACCTTGATAATGTTTATTGTTATGAATTCACAATTCAATTGAATGATTTTATATATTGAAATTCCATTTGTGTGTGTTTAGTAAACACACTTGATGATGCAATTATCATCAAATCATCATTTCCCTTGATGAGAAATCTGGGACACATAAGTTATTTGAAAACTAGAATTTCTTCTCATTCCCCTTACCCCTACTTATATTAGAAGCAGCCAATGCTATCTTAAGACCTGCTCTGCTTGGGCAAAATACAGTAGGTGAGCAAAACACTTGTCACCCAAAAGGAAATTATTATTTACTTTTTTTCCTTAACTAAAATTACCACCCAAAATTCACATTCTGACTGCTGATGACATTTCGTTCCAGTGTGTAAACTTGTGTAATATTATACTTAAGAATGTAGTCACTAAATTCATATAATATATTCCGAAACAGTCAAAACAGCCCTGGATCATATCACTTTGCAGCATTTAAACAATTCTGCATTTTTTATTATTTAACATGGGGCCATCTGTCTGGCTCAAAATACACTGAAGATAATACTTTCCTATCTGTTGTGTGCTTGGGGGTCATGACTAATTCTCAGTGTCTGTGGGATACATCTTTACATTTTAAAGGAGAATATGTGGAAAGATGGTGGATCGCACTGTCTTACATAAGCCTCTCAGCCCAAAACAAGAATGTACAGTATACATAAACCACTGATCCCCATATTTACAAAGCTTAAAACAAAGATCTATGAAGTCTTTACTGCCAGTGCAGGTAGAATTGAATAGGGGGATATTGCCTTTTGAAAATGTCAGCAGTTTCCTTGTTACTTATTTCAATATCCTCTCGACATTTGGCTTTAATATCCTAAATACCATTTTTAAAGCCAGCTCCAGTCTGCCCTGACTAATTTCCTCTCAGCCTGACAGATCAGAGGCCTTCCCCAGCAATGTTCCTCTTGGACCCACAAAGCCCCTCGTAATCCCGCTGCTTGTCTACAATTAATCTTTCCAGTTGCCACATTATTAACACTACCACCCACAGACAGAGGATGCCTGAGCACAACTGGGCACCGCCCCCCACTGGACAGGCAGAAACGTCAATCACACGGTGGTCAGAAAGTTGCCTGCTGTCAACATCAGAGATTTTCATCCCCCTTCTGTCTGCTGATCAAACATTTCTTCCCTCAGAAGATTAATCCCAGACCCCTCCCATTTCCTCCCAGACCCTTTCTGCCTTTTCAGTTTATTCAATGACCCATCCTCTATATGAGAAAGGAGGTTGTTGATAATAGGAATCCCTTTAGAAACAAAGTTAAAGAAAAACTAAATTTAAATCCCAGCTGTTATCAGGCTTTTTTTAAGGCTGGGCAGACAAGCCCTGCTTTGATCACCAGCCTTAAGATTTTACACAAACATAATCAAAAGCCAAGGGTTGCTGTAGGCAGTCTGAATTGATTCATTTCTGAGCTGGGTGCGATGAAGAACTGCCCTTATTTACAGTTTATGCACACTCTTTTTAGATCTATATGTTTTAAAGAGAAGTAGACTTGGAAACGTTAACTATAATTAAGACTGTGTCTCTTTAGAATGCTTTTACATATGGACAAAATAAAGAACTTTGCAAAGCAAGCAAAGCACTAAGATAACTGCAAGTCCAAATAATTTTTTTTTTTTTTGCTAAAATTGGTATCTCACCAAGCACTTCAATAAAGTTGCCCTTCCTCTTAGAAATAAGGAGGCTTTCCTAATTTTCAAATATACAAAGCTTAAACCACTTCAAGGGACAGAGCACCACTGTTAACAGTAGGCCTTAGATGGACAAAGACCCGACAGATCTGTACTTCAGCTGCAGAAACACTATTGTTAGTCAGACAAAGGGGATCTTTTTATTACACTCCAGTCTTATTGTTCACTTGCATGCACAGCACTTTCAAATGAGGCATAAGATCTAAATCTTAGAAGCTTAGACATCTTGGAATATATGGCAACTGGGAGCTTTATTAGTGCTGTTTGTAAGAAATTCTGGGGGATGTGCAAACCCAATCTAGGCATTTTTAATCTGAGATCAATAGGGCTGAATTGCTTTGATTACTCTCCGCCCTCATTAAACAATTCTGAGTAATACCACAGTTCTCTTTTCAGGGCTTTAATTTGTTACCTTCCCCTCACGCTGCTTCCTTATGTTATCATCTTAAATCCCAGCATCTTGCGACGCTTGCTGTGCCTGACAGCAAATGGCTGCCCTCCTTTTCCTAAAACCGCAATTTTAATGTAACGACAAAGAGTCCGAGATTAAAAGCAGGACGCAGAAGGTTTTACTACAGTATGTTCCAAATCTAAAGTGGCTGAACATAAACAGATTTGTGTTTTTTTTCCAAGGTGAATTGAGAGATAAATGACGAACTCCTGAAAATATTGAATACTGAAGGCCTACATTAGTCTCATTCCTTATATTCACACACTCATCTACATTTTACTAAAAATCGATACTGCTGAATTACCAGAAGTGACACTTGAGGGAGATGAAGAGTACACAGTGTTTTACAATGGAATGGCAAACATTAAGGATAAAAAACTACTCCTCTTTCAAACAAACCACCACTTATAGTTTCATCGGCTGAAATCAAATCCTGAAATACTAGGCCATTTCCATCTGCTGAGGGGGATTTACAGAAGTGAGCTGAAAAAATGATTTCTTACCTCAA